CATAAATATTCTTAGAGATTATACATTGTTTTTATTTTAAATGTTTTATAGTAATCAAACTGTATACGTAATCCAATGTACAGTACGTATTTTAAATCTACATCAACACATAAATATTGTAAATTCATTTCCATTTGAACTACGAACATATTTGATTTCAAAAAAAAAATTATTTTATATTATGTCAACAAAATTGTTTTCAGCACTAAATCAACGTTATAGTGAAATATTAAAGGATGATTAATATTGCTATTGATGTTGGTAATAAAAGACCATAATGTAAAAATATTAGTGCGCACATATATGAATATTTTCTTGTTAACGTTCTCCATATTTAAGACGAACTTTTGCTTCTAATCAAAATGATGCTTTGGCCCAAATCAGGTTACCAAATTTCTACCAGAGATATTTCAGTTTACCTTAAAGTTATGCAAAAATGATTAAATGTTTAAAATTACTTTTCAGTTAATAAATCTTTATAATTTATGGTGGCAGTCTTTTATTGAATAAGCAAGATATTTCAGAAATTTTTAGAGTTTTGGTTGTCGCAGATGGCTTCATCTTCAAGAACTAGTTGATTGTTTATAAATCGGTAATATTAGAATAACATTTATTAGGAATTCAATAATTTTTACCAATTTAAAGGCTAAATCTCCAAAGAAAATATTTTATTTCACTTACTGAAAAATCTTTAGTTAAATTAATTAAAAGAGATGATTTACAGACGAAAGAAATTAAAATCTGAATGGAAGCATGTATTAAATGGGATCTTATACAAAATTCAAATTTTGTTCAAGATTCCGATAAAAATTGGATAATTTAATAAACATACTAATTACTTGAGCAACTATCAATTTAATATAATTAAATTAACAATTACTATAAGTATTACCTGTTACTATAATAATATCGCCTCTAACTTGGAAAGTTAACTATGAAATTATGCTTTTAATCATCCTATCACAAATCTTGCTTACTTCAATTAATCTAATGAATTCTTAATTATACTAATTGCAAAGCTTTTTATTTAAAGTAAAATCATAAATTTATATAAATTAAATTCAAAATTTCTTAGTTTTGAAAATTGATTTTTCTCAATTTTTTAATATGCAGTAATTAATTTTCATATTAATAAATTCTAATGACGATATTTATATTGTGAATTATAATATTATAATGAATTTAATGAACAATAAGTTTTTCTTACAATCATAAGATTAAGACAGACCATTGTTCATAAGCTATTGCAATTAATTATTGATCGGTGATAAATTTATTACGAAGGACTTTTTTATGCAAATTAAACGAGTGGAAATAAACTATTTCATTTACAGAATATTCTGATAAATTATTAAGGGCAAAAAAACGTTGGCATTGATAACACAGTTTTAAGATAGAAACACTACTGAAACACTGACTTCCAATTTAATGCATTAATTTTAACAAATTACACTGATTGTAACGTTTGCGTTTAGTTAATTCCCTTACAATTTATATGTAAATTTTTGACATTGCATAGCAAAGTTACATTTAGATATATTTTTTATGGTAGATCTTCCACTTAAAGTCTTGAAATTCGAATATTTGAAAATATGTGAGATGTAAATTCTAATATAATTCGTATAATATCTCAATGGATACAGTATGTGCGTTTTAGACTAGTATTTTTTCCTTTTACGTGTTATGAACTTTATTAGGATCTCAATTATTATAAAAATCAAAGTAATAGTTCAAAAATTAACAAAAGCATTTTGCATTATATCTTAAGATTGCAATTTATATTCAAATCTCATAGTATATTTCGATCTCAAAATTCTATGATCGAATATTCTAATTTACTTGATTTATAAATGAACATTTGAATATCATAATTTCAAACGGAATCTATTTAATAACTGAAAGTTTGTAACGTAAATATAGCAATAATTTATTTATTTCTTTGTTACATATAATGCGTATCAATACAATATTTATTATATTTTTGTCTTAAATAAAATTCATCCTTTAAAATACATTTATTTTTTTATTATTTGAAACACTTCGTAATCTTCTACAATAAATTTACCTTCAATATCTCTTATCTTTTTTTCATAAAAACTATTATAATATTCAGTGGTGTCATAATTTACAAATTCATTTGAAGCATTTATATTAATATCACCACCAAAATATGGACCAGATATAGAACCAAATAATAGTGCATAATTAGAATTTATTACTTTGCTCAAAATTGCATCTTTAAAATTATTCTTATTTTTAAAAGAAAAAATAAAACTATCTTCGGTTTTACCCCAAGAACTCGTTTGGGGGGTTTCCCATATTACTGGATTATACCCACCAATAATTTCTTCTGTTCCTTTTATTTTAATGAATGTAACAGTATTAGGTTTATTATCACATAATTCATGAAATTTTTTAGGAGTAAATCCATCTCGACTTCCTCTTAACAATAATTCAAATTTATATGGTAAATATGATTCATTAAAATTATTATCATTAATAACTATTTTATCTATCCATCTTGAAATTGTTGAAACAATACCAGAATTAACGATTAGTGAACAAATAACTTCAATGTTTTCATTAATTTTAATTTTTCTAGGAAGTTGAATGTTATGAGATGATACACTTTCAGGATCTAAATAAAAGTTTAATAAATCTTCATAAAGTTGTTGATTTAGGAGTTTTTGATATGGACGAACTTTTTGTGAAAATTCTTTTGGTGATAAACAAAAAAATCTAACGAAGGGTAAACAATGTTGTAGAGTATTCTTCATTGTTTTAAAATCATCATCAGACCAAGTTTTAGGATCTGGAATGAGAGTTGGATTTTGTGCAAGTCCCCATTTTAATACATTTTCCCATATTTCAATTTCTTTCATTTGTAAATCATTACTTTTAATAAGTGAAATTAAAGATTTTTCAGGAAATGAAGTGAAATTTAATGATTTAAGAACTTTCTCTGGAGACTGAACCATTAAATTTGTACAAAATTCTTGAAGTTTTAATAAATTATTAGAATTTGAGCTAATTTGTTGAGCAAATTCAAAATATTGTTCTAGCTGTTCAGACTTATTTTCAATTAAATATCCTTGTAAATAATCAACTAGCTCTTGAAGACTAAGTTTATCTGCAGTAGCCAAAACTTTAAGAAGGTCTGAAATGTCCTTTTCATCCAATGAAAGAATACCTCCATAAATATACCTAATTATAAAAATAAAAGTTATAATTTGAATATTCAAAGTTATATATAACATGATATTTAACTTACTCTAATACAATTTGAAAGATTTCCGGTGATGTGTTTGATAATTTAATATGGGTTAAAACGTTATCATTGTTTTTTTTGTTTGACTTTAATATTCGTCGTAAATATGGAGAACGGTAACACAAAATATTCATATGAGCACTAAATATTTTTACGTTAGGGTCTTCACCAACTTCAATTGTGACATCATAATATTCATCGTCTTTTAATAATTCAATATAATTTTGACTTAATTTCGAAAAAAATTGAGTAACCATTTTTTCTTTTTTTTTTTAAAAAAAAAAAAGAATTATTTATAGTTATTTCAGATATCATATATGGTTAAGCAGTACGTACGCCAACTGCAAATGATGACGGTTTACTTCCAAAATAAGAACAATCTACCAGAACCCAGAGCTATGCATAGGTCCTGGTTATTTGCTTAGAATGAGCCAAAATCAAGTAGATCACTTCCATTTGTGGATAATGCCGACCAGCATTACATGGTGCCGGCCCTGAAGAAATTCGTAGAGCTAATAGTAAATGTGTGCCGATCTCCCCTGACCTATATATACTATATAGCTCGTGGGTCCTAAATCCTAATCTACCTCTCTATAGTTAAGATAAATTAAGCTATTATTGATCAGCGATTTTATTACGAAGGATAAATTTATTTCATTTGTACTATTACGGAAAATTCGGATAAATTTATTAAGGGACAAAAAAAAATGGAAACACGGACTTCCGATTGAATATATTTTAAATTATAAAAAATTACACTAATTGTAATATTTGCGTTTAGATGAATATAATTCATTCGAATTCATATTATAGTATTTAAAATTATTGTATGATTTTTAGACTATTTTTCTTTTACGTATTATGGATTTATTATAATTTTATTATTGGTGGTGATTTTCACTGATCACACCCACGTTTTTGTCAGAGTTCCAATCCGAGGATCGACGGATGGACACATTTTGACGATTATACATAGATTTAATTAATTAAAGTCTAGAATTTTTTTGAGATATCTTCAGATTCTACTCCAATGCGCAATATAGTAAAATTAAAATCCAGTTCAATTATAAAATGGAGAAGAAATTCAACTCAGATTGAAAATCCATCCGATCGGATAAAAAATTCGAATTTCTCTCTTTTTTTATTATTAACAACACTCTTACTCGGACAGATGACAATCTCAAAATAATGGAAAATGATTATAAATTTTTTACCATCAATCGGATTTTTCAATTTACTATCTTAAAGATTTTTACAAAAATTGGCACTAAATTGACTCACACTGGCTTTAGGGCAAAGATGGAGTATACAGACCCCAGCAAAAGTAATGGCGGTCAGTTTTTTTAATATAGCACATAAATTTTATAATGAAGCTATGAAATCTTTTTTTATTTTCGAGTAGAAGGGTCAAAAATACATATATTTTATTATTTGATAAATATTTGGTTTGACCTCTATTTGTATCAACACATGCTTCAATTTGATTTTGCGTGCTTTATCACCAATAACCTCGCTATTAATAATTGAGTATTGCTAAAGCTCACCGGCGGTGATTTTCACCGAATTATAACTTCGGCCAGAATTAATATACTTAAATGATTTAACAAAATAATGTGCAAAAAGTATCGAATTATAAACAAAAAAATTGAATAAATGCAAAATTTAAGTCTTTAATTATTTCAAAATTTACAAATTAGTTGCATATTTGTAAGCATAAACTAAGAACATTCGGTTATTTAGTTCTTGCTCTAACACCTTTCTTTTTAAGTTCACAACTACGGGCATTATGTCCGTTACCTTTACAATAACTACATATGTATTTAGTTTGACGAATAGGAATTTCAGGTTGTAATTCGCTTCTAGATTGCTTGTTTGGCGCTTTAACATTCAATCTACATAATAATTAATTGATTACTTAAGTTCAATAAATTAATACTTATTAGATAAGTTTTTACTTACTTCATCATATCTTGTCTATTCTTATTATTATTGTATTTAATAGTAGTGTTTTCCAATGCGTTCTTTACACGCTTCTTTGGAGCACCTTTTGTACGCGCCTGATGAGGGCTGCTAATATTTGGAAGATTCTCTTTAAACCCAATTGTACATCCCTGCTGCTTATCACGAATTTCTCTTTCTTTTTTTCTTATCCAGCTTTGCAAAATCTCATTTATTTCGTTTTCACAACCCAATTCAAGAGACATTCCAATTGCTTTTTTTGCATACCCAAAACCTCATTATATTTAGCTTTATGAGACAGATTCTGCTTCACAGTTTCAGAAAATAGTTGCATATAAAGATGTGTCCGCAATACCCTAATTGCGGATTAATTGCAATTTGCGATATTGCGGAACATTGCAGATTTTGAAGAATAATTATTCGCAAATCTGCAATCGCAAATAATCTGCAAATCCGCAAATAAGCCGCAAACTCGCAAATAATCCGCAAATAATCCGCAAATCCGCAAATAATCTCAAAAATTATGATTGACTGTAGATCATCTTCACATGATCATTTTTTTTTGTAAAATATTCCCACCGAAGTGAAAAAAAAATTTTCTCGCCAGAATACGGGAATATTATTTCCAAAATCCAATTAAAATAATAATAATATATCAGATTATTCAGCCATAATCAATACATTATTTTAACAATTATATATATTATTGTATCAAAACTCATTCTATCAAACGTATCACAATATACAATTACGTATCAAAACAATCGTGTTATCAAATGTTATTATTTGATCAATTAAATAAATATCAGTTTTTACAGTTTTTAGTACCCCAATTGCTTTCTTCCCTCTTCATTTTAAAAATAAAAAATAAAGTATCGGCTTTTAAAATATTGAATAAATATATTAGAAATGTCAAAAACACCCTGTTCAGTTCTCAATTCAAAAATTCACGGGAAAAAAGTTTATTTACCTGACGACGATGAAAGCTTAATTTCAACAGCACTTTCTCTTGTTTGGACAAAAACGGATAAAAAAATTGATTCGTATACTTTTGAGCAAGATAGAGTAAGAATGTCATATAAAAAAAATGAAGGTCGTATATATTTTGATCTGGAGGAATCGTTGTCAAATTTTACATTTATCAATAAAGTACAGTGCCCTCCAATAAGTCACCGGTCACCTTTAAATTTGTATAACTATTGCGCAAATATGGTTATATGTAAACTTTTTTTTAAATAATGAACCTGCCTTTTATCATATAAGTAAAGTTGGTCATCAAGTTGAATTACATTTACTCTAAAAATTATGTGTAATTTTAATAAGAATTGGCCATTATATTTTAAATTTTATCAGAAAATTTAAGATTTCAACAGAAATCTTTAGGTATTATCATAGCATTAAAATAATTTGTTTTATCATAGTTTTTTTTTTGAATAAAATCGTCTACCATGATTTTTAGTACATTATTATAAAGTATTATTAAAATCAATAAAATAATTGATAAGTTACATATATTTTACAAACATATTTTACACCTATCTATTATTAATAAATTATCAAGTTAAAGAGTAAATTATAATCTTGAATTTTATTATGATAAAAAAATTTAAGATAAATAGCTGTAACTTCAAATATTTTTGGAAAAAAAATTTGGCCAAATTCAATGCATTAGTTAACGCTAAAATTTGGTAAATAATTTGGTGATGATCTACAAATGATCAGCAAATGCCAGCTAAATGTGCACAATTTTCTAATCATTTCATTAATTTTGATGATACTTTAACAATAATATGCCATAAATTATAGCAAACAATTTTATTAAAAAATTAAAGTATCGATGAACAAATTTTTTAATTTTTTATTAATACCTAAAAACCTCTATTGAAATCTTAAATTTTCTAATAAAATTTAGAATATAATGGCCAATTCTTATTAAAATTACATATAATTTTTAGAGTAAATGTAATTCAACTTGATGATTAACTTTAATTATACGATAAAAAGTAGTTTTATTATTAAAAAAAAAAGTTTACATATGATCATATTTGCGCAATAGTTGTACGAATTTAAAGGTGACCGGTGACTTATTAGTGGGCACTGGGCACTGTACATACTTAAATTAAATAGTACAGTGGTTAGATTGTGAGATATAATATAAATAAGGTGTTCGGTTCAGTTCCTAAGGTGAGCAAAATAAATATAATTTAATTAATATATTTATATATAGTTGTGTTAATATACAGTGCGTTGAACAACAATGCATAATGTGTTAAACTACACATTAGAGTTGAACGACGCGTATATTAACATTATGCGTTAATATACTCCAGTATACGGGTGTTGATTAATAT